ACTAAAATCAACTGTCTGAACACGAGCGCGCTTTTAATAATTATATTATATTATATTAACACTAAATCTACCAAACATTAAAAGCACGGATTGAGAAATTGGTTCATTCATTTTCTATGAAAGAGTCTTTATGATCTTAAACACTTTAATGCTTAACTTGTATGCTGAGGTCACGAGTGACCCCACCAACATACCTCTACTTTATTTGATAGCGAAATTTTGATTTTCCACTTTTTGTTATGTTTTAGACTGGCACAGAATAAAAATACAATGGATAGTTCACTTGACATTAGATCAACACATCTTTTTGCTCTTTTTATTTGGAGTCTATCGCGGCGATCATTTATCTTTTTATTTATCAATCATTTTCAACATATTTTTTACGTACATTAGTATATTCCTTCTAGATACGTTAGTTTTTCTGTAGGCTGACAATTGTGAAAATTGAAATTAGTTGTCCGAAACTTGACATTCAGTTTTCAATTTTTCCAGTCTAAGACCGAATGGACCCTGAGTCCGCCGTTCGAATGTTAAGAATTAAATTAAAAACATGAAACCGGTATGTAAAAATGTATATACAATTATCTGTGAAACGCCAAACGTACGAATCTCGTTTGGCCGAAATATGCTACGATGCAACAGTGTCGTTTCGCATGATCAAGCCAAGCGTGTAAAGGTAGGCGCTATGCGTTGACCTTAGCCTGCTAAAGAAACCTCGTAATCAGGGAGTTAACCTCCCAGGATATGAAGGTTACAAGCGTGCACGGAGAGACTGAGAAGTCAATCCGGGGCCGCCAGGCTACTGGAAGAGCCGTGAGATTCGTGAAGCGATAAATAAGGACTAAATGTCATTTGAGAATGATGCGAAGTATAGGACAAAAAAGGAATCGAATAAAGTCGGCAATTCCAACCTTTCCAAAATCCTCAGGTAATCGCCGATAAAGGCCGAATAGGGGGGAGGCTCGATAAGCGAAAACAAAGAGTGTACGACCCGGCAAATCTCGACTGTTTAACACGTTGACTGCCACGCGTATTTACAACAAAATCTCCTACAGGCCACCCGTGCCGCTATAGGAATCGTGCGCTGTTAATTCATATCTGTTTCTGTTCCTGCATGAACAGTTGGAATCTTTGCCGAGTACCGAATGGTATAACTTAAAATCTCTGCCCTTATTTCTTTTCAATAATGAAAAGAGATCGGATTGCCCGGAAGGAAAAGCATAAATAAAATTACATCGTCAGATTCTGATTTGGATACCGATAAATATAATCTTAGTGATAATGAATGTTATGAAGATACTATTGACGAGATTTTACGAGAATTGGTCATGGAAGAAGAAAGAAATGTTGATGATACTGAGGAAGCTACAGTTCAAATAAAAGATACGAAATGGACCGATCAGAGGCACGAGCATATCTGAAAAAACAAACAACTTTTTGTCCAAGCTGTCCTGATCAACCTCAACTTTGCAGAGAATGTTTTAATGTTATACACTGCGAATAATTTGTTTAATAAACCATTTTTATAAGAATTCAATAGTTTCATTACCTCCTGTAGAATATTTGTCGAAATATTTTCGGAAATCCTTT